TACGCAACTCATGGAAATGCACTTGATGCTTTTCAGATGGGGGATAAAGTGAGAGGCAAGTGAGAGTCTTTAGCCGATGGGCATTTATTGCGATATATTTATGTAATTCTTTTTTTTTCCTGAAGCCTTCATTCTGGACGTGCACCACTCCGGTCGGCTGATTTTGAGCATGAATGAAAAAGCTCTCAACACCAATCTCTATGGTGACATTACCTTGGTAATGCTTGCATTGCACCCACTTTTTTGTCTCTCGAACTCAGTCCTTACTCTTCCTCCATTTTCAGGGGATTATTTCCGATGATGATTTGCCACTTCATTACAGGTGAGACTTGTTCCTGTCTACCTTATCATTGTTGTGTTGTGTAGAAAGCTGCAAAACCTCGATGGAAAGTCCTTCGAAGCTTGTCTCATGGGGACGCCGCAGTTTCGTAACCCCGATGGTCTTCGCGTCCTCTGTTCTAGATTTGGCATTCCGAGAGCTTCCGCTTGTAGTCTGTTACTCTCAATGGCCAAGTATGCTTTCTTCTTGCTTTTCTTTCCCATATTTTACTTATCCTTTGGTGAATTTCATGCCTCTTCAAGGATCAGTCTTCCGAAACCGGAAATGGCCTGTGAATTACGTCGTGTACAGCTTTACAATATGTCGATGAGGCAGTAAGTTTTTTCCGTGATTGCTTCATCCACTAACTTGCATTTTTTAGCGTGGCTCAGGGTGTTAGATACTTCAAGGAAGGTCGGAACACAGAAGCACTTCAGTGCTACAACTTTGCCATCGAGGTGGAGAATAATAATGCTGATGCTTATGTTGCGCGCGGTGCTCTGTGAGGTCTAGTCTGTATCAACCTCGCCTTCTCTCCATTCATTATTTTTAACTCGCTTTCCTCTAGCTATGCGTCTATTGGTACGTATGTCAAGGCCATCGACGATTTGGAGAGGAGCCTAAACCTCCAGCCAAACCACGCTAATGCAAAGAACTACCTTGGTCAGACACTTTTGGCCTATGCTTGCGAGTAAGTATTCCTACTAGTTTTTTGGACATTTTTGCTCCAACTAACTTTTTTTCTAACCAGATTGACTTCAAAGGATCCCACAAAAGCTGAACAGCTACTACGAAGGGCTCTCGATTTGGATCCAAACAACATAGAGGCGCGTGAAGCGCTTCGAGACTTACCGGGGGGAGGGACTGTTAATACAAACGTAAATCAGGGTCGCGATGTCAGTATGGTATGTTTAAGTTTTGAAAGATAGTGTTTGCTGGAATCTCCTTTGTTTTCCACTATTTTCGCCCATCAGCATTCATGGTCACGGTCGCCCTCACTGCCGTCGGGAAGCAATATCTCTAGCAAACGGGGCAATGTCCCTATAGGCATTCAGCAGCGTCACGGTGACCGTTCACCCCCCGCCTCACCACCGAGCGCCTCTCAACGAGCTGATCAGTTCTCTCGGTTTGAGAGGTCACGCGCAGCACTTGAACAGCTCGTCAATGAGGACCGGTCGAGACGAGAAGCCATGCGGCGAGGTAGCGCTGCAGGTCGCCCTGGATCTGGTGATGATTTTCAGTCGCCACCTTGTAAGCTCATTTTCTTTTAGACTGCCTGACCTTTGGAGCATCTAAGGCATGTAGGTGACGAACTATATAATTGCTAAATGTTCCTCCGAAGGCAAATATTGAAAAGGAGATTCCATCGTTCCACATCTGAGGTGTTGTGCCTGCAGATACTAGGTGGTGGCACAGTT